ACTCAGAAGGTGACTTTCTTGCTGCAACTTTCAGAGGCCTAGGAAGATTTAATTCACATTTTGTACATTCTTGACTCAGGGTACACTGATGGCTGAACATCTGACAGACAACAAGTACTCTGGGGGCTGATCGCTATTTTGAATGTGAGTAGATCAAGAAATGACCTTGGCAAGTGTATGACATTTGCTGCATTGCTGGCAACATGTTCATACTTTTTTAAGCAAAGGTATTAGGTTTATAACAAGTATATTATATCAAGTATATTATATCAATCACTTGTTATAAAATACAGATAGTAAAAAAAAAAAAAAAAAGCAGCAATGTGACGGAAATTCCTTTCCCAGGAACCATATGCCCCATGTCCCCACTAGGGCTGTATTGACTGCCAAGTGCTTTTTCTCAGGCAGAAGTTAGGGGGGTTCTTTGTTTTGTTTTGACCCTGAGTTAGCTATAAGCTGTAAAACTATGTCAGCCTCTAAATATGGCATTTCAAGGTGTCCTAAAAGTGAAACCTTGTTGTTTTATTGTCAAACATACCTTTTAATCAAATGACAAAAAGATGCAGTGGCTGCATAAATTATGGAACAGTGTTGTGCATTGTAATTCTAGCTTACAGTATTACTTGTCATATAGCAATGAGACTTCAGGAAAGATGCTACAAACCGTCCTGGGTATTCATCAGCATCAGAACTCAGTAATGACAAATCATGGGATGAGTACTGCACGAAGTGATAGACTTCGAGTGGTACAAGGTGCTATAGTACAGATCACAGTGGGAATGCCCCAAATCCCCCTGCACCATATGCTGAAGTCATTGGACTGCTTCAGGCACTGTCCATGGTTATATGACCTTTCTAAAAGTTATATAAATCAATGGAATGTAGGAAAAAAACCCAAACCAAAACAAACAAGGTTAGCTGTTTACTGGCTATAAAGTAAAGAAAGCATCTTACTCCTTTTAAAAATGCACAGCTAATAGAGGAGGAAATCGGTGGCTAAATAATAGATGGCTACAGAAAAGAAAATAAGAGTCCTTCTCTTATCATTAGTCAGTGCTTGATTGCAGCTATTGGATTAGCTTACATGATTGTTCCTTTCATTAAAACATGTTCTAAATAGCTCTCTAGTTCTACAAGTCTTCTGTTACAATGGCATAAGTAGGGAAAAGATCAGGAGATGAAGATGTGCTCTTCCCTCTCCTGAAATCTCTTGACAAACATTACTGAATTCTTTCTGGTTACAACATAAATAAACTTCCTCCTGCATTTTTATTGCACTGAGTTCTGTTAAGGATTGATACAAGACATGTCAAAACAGTTAGTTTGTACATGAAAGAGAAGAATTTGTGGGTTTATGGAAGCTAATGTCCTCAGTGAGAGAGCAGGATTAGACGGCTGTAGCAGGGGTGAGCTGGACTCTGCTGACAGAGATGTTAAGGGTACTTTTGTAATCTGCAGAGGACAGAAGTAGGAGAAGTGGCTCAATTCTGGCTTCTGTGAGTGTGTTTTGGGAGATCTTGAGCAGGACAGCTGTGAGCTAGGTATTAGGATTCTAGGGAGCAGTAGGGATTAGGATCTGAGCTGGAAGGTTACTACATGGGTTTGCTTCATTCTCAAATGTTTCTTTGTGCTTTGAGCCTTGCTTACAGCTAAGATGCTTCTCATTAAATTGATGACCTGTTCCTAGCTGCCCTGGAATTCCTCTGAAGCCAATGGAAAAGGGAAAACAACCCTTGAGAGTGAAAAAGCTTTTAAAGGGGAATCCATGTCTACAATCTTGTCTTTTTGGAAAAGCAACTGAGGAAAGAGCTGTCATACTAATTTAATATTTTCTATTAGTCTCATCTTCTTCTTTTTCCATAGTCCTGAACTTTAGAGTAACCTCCTTGATGTTAATGTGTGTATTTGTTTTGTGGTCCTGGAGATGAACTGTCAGGGCATCTCATTTACTCATGTTTCTTTTGCCCTTCTTCAGTGATCCTCTGGAATATAAGATAATCTACTACAGAGGATAAAAGAAAATAATTTTATCAAAGTGATAGTGCTGTGGTGTTTTGGGAATGAAGGCCAAAGCTTATAGATAGAACGGATGTCATTAAAAAGCCAGCATTTACCAGTGTCGTGTGGTGAGTGTTTCATAGCGCTGATGACAAAGAAAGTTCCAACAACAGATAGTGACATGTGAGACCAATGTTCCCATGTAACTTTTGGTTCTTTGGTGTTTTGGTTCTGGATCATGTTTATAGCAAAGTCATCATTTTTACCATGCATTGATATGTTTATCCTAGAAGAGAAATTTGAGTGTAGATCTTAGAAATGAAATCCAATCATTTCTTTTGACCAGGAAAATTTCAAAGTATTAATCAAATGGATATGAAATTCCTTTTGCAGCCTAATATATGTAACACTTATTTTGCTACAGTCTTATAAATCAATTGCTCTTCTCTGTTAAGTGAAAAATTATTTAACTATCAGGGAATGTCCAAACTCATCCATCAAAACTCTGCAGCTTAGCAGCACCATAGAATACTGGGCTTCTTTCCCTAAGAAATTATTGCTGTAGACATTGTTGATTGCATTTAACGATAGCAATTCCTCACAAGAAACTGGAATGTGCATAATGAAATACTAGGTTGCTGAGCATTACTTAGCAAAGGAGACAGTTATCAGGAGCCAGTTTAAATTAATTAATTATTAAATATTTTAGAAAATTATTGCTTCCATCTTTTCTTAATGTGGCCCACGTTTTAATGAAGAAACCTCAAACATCTCTTTCACAAGACTGTTCCTGAACTCAGAATCCCAGATTTTGCCACCTAATGACAAGCAGAAGGTCCAGAGGGAACTCATCTAACTGTTTTAAAAAATGCTAAATTAACAATACCAGGCAGATTTGGTAAAGCATATGCAAAAATCAGAATAACACAAAGAAGGTGATAAACATCAGCCTGCTGCCTATACAGGAAGGGAGGTTTATTTATATCCAGCAACAAAATATACATAGGAAGGCTCTACACCACTTCAACTGTCCTATTATATTTGTCTTCATATCTGTGGGAACAAAAAAAAAGAAAGTGCTGCTACAGTTCCTGTTTTCATCACCTAAAACCAAATTAGAACCACTATCAGCTATCTTAATCTGCAAATCACTTCCACTGTAATGAGTTAATTAACCTCTGATCACATGCCTGCATCAATCTCATGCATTTTCATTTTGGTTTTAGCAGTTACAGCATAGTTTCACCATAGTTTACCTCCATCATGAAGTTACAGAGGTATTCCATAGAAGTCACTGAATAAAGACAGGAACAAAAAAAAATAGTTTATTCTCCATGGAAATTTCTGAAGAATTAGAAAAAAGAAAAAAAAAAGCCTTTCTTTCACCAAGATGAAAACAAAACCTATCCTTTTTCACTGAAAAGGGCAGCCTGTCTTAGAGGAGCAGATAACTCAGCCATTACCAAATGCCCTGTGGAAGCATGGCTATGTCTATGTTGACCCTGAGATGGCTAAGTCAGGGAGAACACATGGAAGTGCTTGAGAACTGATCTCCCAAGTATAAGGTCAGAAAGATCTAATAAACTTGTATGCTCTTGCAGCTGGTGATTTGAGGGGCCCTTGGGTCATCACATGTCCAACATCAAAGGACATGGCCACACAGGGAGCTGGAGCTAAACACTATTTGCTTCTCAAAGCCATGATTAAAGGTCTGAGATTCCTCACCAAGTGCTCCTCAGGGACTGAATCCAAAATCAGGTTTTGTTCAGTTACTGAGGGAACCTGAGTCCTCCTTCAAGCATCAGCCTACAGTCATGCCCAGTGTTTGGTAAGACGAAATAAGGTCTAAGAAACAAGGTCCTGGTTTGTGCCTCATTTTGCACTGGGAGTTGAACCTGTGCTTTCTCATTCATTGAGTGGCCTGGTCCTTCCAGAGAGGAAGCTTCCCCTTTCACAGGGAAATTTCTGACAGCCCGGATGTGTCACAGCCACTGCTGGGCTGAGTAACTCTGCCAGCTCAGCGTGAAATAACTCTGGTGCCAGTGTTGACAGATGTTCAACTGTCACAAATGTATTGTTCCCAGAAAGTGTGGTTTTGTTAAAGTTATCTTTAGGGAATAAATATTAAAACTGCCTTTTTACCACATGCAACCTGGCATTATCTGAAACATTAATAAATTTATGCACTGATGTCTAGAGATGACTGTCACATGACTACTAAAATCTGATTTTCAGAGGTTCTCAGAACTCTGGTAAACCTTGGTTGTGACCTTCATTTTTTTTTTATTTTGTATTCAATGCAATGTATCTCTTTGACTTACTTATTTTCCTGGAATTATGGATAATGTCAATATATTGAACATAAACTACGAACGCTATTATACCCTTGTAGCGAAAGCACACTGAAAGGGTCTCAGTGTGTTAAGGTCTGTCTTCCAAACTGGGAGATGTGCTGTAAGGAAAGTGTTTCTAGAGCTTTGTGTGGTTGCTCTGAGTACCTTATTAATCTTTTGCTTTTTTTTTTTTTTTAGCTGAACATGGGAGATTTTGATCTTTTGTAAAAATATTTCAGTCCTTTGAAGATAAAAGGTCTCTTGATGCCTAACACCCTGATGAAAAACAGATGACAAGTAGCAGATTTTGTCTATGAAGAAAGATTTTTAGTTACTTTGGTTTGCGCCTTAGCTCTGCTTCTTGTTGCTGTTTGACCTAGACATTCTCTTTTAGGAAAGTTCGACATTAATAGCCAGGAGGATTAATGATGTTTAAATACAGTGAACACTTAAAATTTCAATCATCTGGGTAGCAGATCTGCAGATAGATTCTCTGCCTGTGCTAAGGTGTTTCACTACAACAGATGCTTTATAGACAGAGAGATTTGGACCCTGGGGAATGGATTTGTTAAGTCTCATACAAATGGCTGTCTTTAGTATCCTGATTGATTCCATCTGTAGTTTTACACCCTTTCCTTTTTTTTTTTTTTTTTCCTCTTTCCTTTGTAGTCAGAGCTACCTTCAAACTGCAAGTGACGTGCCTGGGGGTCACAACCTGGATCCCTCTGCAAACTACAATTCCCCAAAGTTTCGCTCAAGGAATCAGAGCTATATGAGAGCAGTGAGCACACTCAGTCAGGCCAGCTGTGTTAGTCAGGTGGGAAATTCTTGTTATAACTTTTCTTATAGGTTAATTGCAGATGCAAGAGTTGTTACTAGTGGGTGGTTTTAGTTGTTGGGCTTTCTTTAATTAATACCTAACTGAGGATGCAAATTGCCAAAGTAATTCAGTTCTAAGGAATGCAGCCCTTGTGCAAAATTTCAAGGGAAATACTGAATGCTAGAAGCAAATGGGCACTATCACACACAATATTTTTCATATATTTTCATTTAAAAAATAAATACTGTTATTTTCATTTTCAGCCTATATTAAATATTTAAATCTTAAGAAGTCTCAGACTGAGCATAAGAGGCACACTCCTACAATACTTACCCTCTGAAAATACCTACTCTCATTTCAGTAAATGTGGGTTGCCAGGTTAAGATATAGATGGAAATAATTATGTTCCAAAGGAGCAGTGATTCATTTCTAAACTCAATCCCTCACTCTTCTTAAATGAAAGAATAGTCCCATCAATTATTCAATGTATGGGGACTTCTGAAAAGAGACATTTTTCCACCCTGTTGATTTTATGTTGCTTAGTTAGTACTAATTCATGTTCAAGTGAGATATGAATCAGGCCTGAAGTGCAAGCAGCCTTATGGAGTATGTTCATATTCTGCTTAGCGGAGGACTTTACATAAAATTTCCACTGTTTCTAATGTTCATTGGTCCTACCATTTCTTTCCTGTGTTACTTCATGACAGGTGGGCCCTGCTCTCATCTCAGACGTGTTACTTCATTTTAATTTGACCATTTAGTGAGACATTAAAGGGTTTAGTAGCTAATTATGCAAAATGGTTACCTTAAAAAAAGTCTTTTTTTAAGAAATTTTAGATTAATTCACATTCAGTTTGTACTGCATGGCTATTCAGGCCTGGATTCAACTCATCTGACTTGAGGCTTTTAACTGAGGCAGCGACTAAAGCTTCCTCTGTAGTTAATGGAGTGAAAGACTTTCTTCCAGGGCAACACACTTCCCGAGCGGGCTGACAGCCCTCTGAAAATGCTTGTCTCCACTGACTGTAGAGAGTTGGGAGGGACTAGTCACCTGACTGATTCTTTTCAGTCAGATTCCTTAACTTACGTGAGATAAATCTAAATATAATCTTGCATAGCACACATCAGAATTACACAGTAATTCATTTTCCAAACCTTTCATTATTTTACAGAGCTCCTTTGTGAAACCTGCCCCCATCATTCTCATGCCTTGGTTTTCATTACTCTGGTTTGGTTATTTTTTATCTTTATTACACTCTGGTTTTGAGAAAGTTTAACAAGAATTAGATCCTACATTCAAAGTGGTGCTGTTGGCTGTCATGAAACAATGCTGTAATACAGAACTATTCTAACATATTCTGCCTCTTTGACCATGGCTGTGCATGGATATGTTCACTGAGATGTCCATAATGACTAATGGGTTTCAGCAGCGGTTAAAATTCTTCATTCCTGTGTGCATTACCTGGAAAAATGTCCACCATAGATTTCATTTGCAGGTAGATTGCTCAATTGGCCAGATTAACTAAACCTGCTGAATATAGTTCCTTTCCTTTCCAGTCTTCACTAACCTGCATAATTTTATGTCAATCACATGCTTCTCACCTCACAGTCCAGCTATTTCCAGACCAGTAATAAATTATTTAATAGATACTACACAAAGTAACTGGATTAAAAAACAAAAACAACAACAACAAAAAAAGTTCTGAACCTTTACTGTTTCCTATTCTTTTTCCATGATGCCATTGTTTTCTTGTCCCACATAATAGCAGTTTGTATAATTTGTGGTATTTTTAATGCCTTTTTTTTGGTGAGATCTTTTTTCACTCTTGACTAAGGGTATAGTCGAGAAAGATACTGGGTTCCATGTATATATTTTAATTTAAGTTTTAAAACTTTGATTTTTCTGTTGTCAATGACCTTAGTTTGAAAGAAGTGGTTAAGACTTAAATTGTTTATGGACTAAATTGCCATAAATTCCCTGATCAATGATGTATGCACAGTATTTCAGAGTAAGATTTTTTTTTTCCTAATCTTTTCAAGATTGCATTAGTCTACTTAACTTTATTAGAAGCAAATTTTATGAAGGGTAATGTAATTCCTTTCAGGAGATGTAGTAGCCAAAATGTCTTACATGAAATTAAAATATCAGTTATTCATTATCATCAGAAGTTCCATATGAAATTTCCATTTACTTAATCAAGATCCTCAAATGTTTGAAACATTCGCATTCACTGTTTCCATAATGAATAATGTTCTAGAAACAGTAATAATGAAAAATGCACTTAGCACTTAGCAGCTGTTTAGAAAAGGTAATATCAACTGGATGTGCTGTTTAGTGATGCTACAAATTTAACTTGGTATTTATAGTGATTCTGATTTCCAGCACTCTCCTTTTTAAAAACAAAAATGTCATCAGGAGGTCCTGCATTTGTCTCTCCAGTGTTAAACTTCCTATTTGATTTTGGATTGTCATAATTTTGAATTATTCTAGTACATTTATAAGTAGCTAGGCCTGACTTCAAAGAACTTGTTAAAAAAACTTAGGTAGAATTTAGGCACTCATCTTCAAAACTGCAATATACAGTTCCCTATTGAGAGGTTCCCTAAACCTGGCCAGCCTGCCTAAACACTGTTTATCATAAAAGCTACCTAAAAATGTACAGTTTTGCATCATGGCCAGCCTGCAGGCAGTACCAGCAGGTAGATGCAGTCTCCTGCCCAAGCCCTGCAGGGAGCTGGAGAGGAATGCTGAAATCCCACAGGGGGCTGACCTGGTAGGTGATGCAGGTAGGCACATGCAGGGTGCTCTGACAGGCTGGGATCCTCAGCACGCCTGGTGACACAAGTGTCAGGCTTAAAATAATGATGCTAAAGAAAAAGTAGCAGTAGTGTCTGCATTTTGTTCTCCCATGGTAGTTGAATGGCTAACCCAGGTAACCAGGAAATGAGGTAGGTTTAGGGCCATTCTCAGCTGAAGCATTATTTTCTCATTTGACCACTTTTCACTCTATTTCACACAATAGCTCTTTATTCACTGGACACAAGTCTAGAGGCAGTATTTCTGAAACCTTTCAGAAGCATCACCTCCTCTGAGCTTACATGTTTTTGACTATGAGATCCTTCCTTGAGCCCCTTTATAGTGAGAGGAAGATAACCTGTCACACAGGCTAAATGTCCACATGAGCAGTAACTTTGCTGATAAGTGAGGAAGCCAGGCAATCCACCCTCACCTTTTGAGGCTTATATTAGTATAGCTGATTTCTGTTCTCCTGTCTTGGCAGAACATGGATTTCTATCAGCACAGAGTGATCCTGTTGATTCCCATTAAATCATGCATTTACAATCCTCTGGATATGCCAAAAAATATTAAACATAAAATCAATTTTATGGCATATGTGATGTACTTACTATATACATATAAACAGCTGATATAAGTTAAAAAAATGTGAATGTGATCAGAAGGGATTACTACATTTTAACTATTTGCTAAAACAGTTCTTCATCAATGTACAGGTGTCCATTTGAGATGTTGAGGCCGTGATGATCACAAAAAAGCAAGTCAAAAATCAAATGCATTGTTGTTGTTTATTCAGATGAGTGAAGCAGAGGTTAATGGGCAATTTGAATCGGTGTGTGAATCAGTGTTTAGTGAAGTTGAAGCTCAGGCAATGGATGCCCTTGACCTCCCTGGATGTTTCCGAACAAGAAGCCACAGTTACTTGCGTGCCATTCAGGCAGGCTATTCCCAAGATGATGAATGTATACCTGCGATGGCATCTTCCAACATCACCTCAACTATCAGGTCAACCACAGGTAAGCAAATTACACTGACCCAATGTTCTGCATGTAAAAATATGTCTTCTTGTGTTGTAAAGGGATGTTTGACACCAGAAACAATTTCCCTGTGTAGTGATAATTTTGACACCAGTATTCTTACATTTGTAACATGCTGTTGTGGCTACAGCCTAAAATAAGCTCCCTCTGGGGAGAACCCTGTAAACATAATATAATGACATGGAATTTTGACCTCCATTTTCCATACAGACAGTTACCCAGATGCAACTATAAAAATGCAAGTTCAAATGATATCATTTAGCTATTATCAGACCTTTAAGTATTTTTATCTCTCAAGTAATTAATCTTCTAAAGGAGACCAGTTGCACTGATTTTAATTTAGGCCCTTAAAGTAACAAAAAAGAGAAGCAAGATTTTAAATATTTGCTCTAAATACTTACAGGCAATTAACTACGCAGGTAATTAGCTACTCACTCTTAGAAAAGGTCTAACCAGTTTTATCAATGCTCTGAATCATAAACTTTATGGAACGCTTTACACATCAGCTATTATTCATCAGTAACCATTATTCATTGTTGTACGATTCACTGTTAGGGTCTTCTAAAATTTTTGAAGCAACTTTATTTCTCTTGTGAGTTGTTTAATAAAGGTAATAACTTTATGCATTTTAGAATATTAGCATTTAGTCTTGGTAGAGAAAATATTGCACACATAGCAATTAAATAATTAAAACGATATCTATAAGAAATACATATTCTTTCTTAAGTGATCCAAATTCACTTTTATGTCTCCAAATACATTAATGTCAGCTCCTAATGATGATATTTTCCTTGCCACATACTATGAAATTGCAGTGCAGGCTACCCATCTGCAAAAGGTAAAAATAGAGCTCAAGGTGTATCATGCGAAAATACTTTTTAAGTTATTTGCTTGACATATCTGTTGTATGATAGATCAGTGGGAGATTATAAAGCAAGTAAGCTGAGGTTGAATAACATAAATTTGCATTTCAGAAGTAACATAAAATGTTATTTTATCTCAAGCATAGGATTTTAATTGCTGTATATAACTTTGTGTAAAATCAGAAGTTGTGGCTTACAGTGCCACCTCTAGGGAAACTTTGTTTAATTGAGATGCTGTCATGATACAAAATGAGATTTTATTGCTACCCCAGAGACTAATTTTCATCTCTGTCATATGTCTGTGTGATTATTAAGAAGTAACCTTCCATGGCAAAAGACACAACTAAATATCTATTTTGGTGTCTGACTCCAGATACTGAACTGGAATACTTTCAGAATTACTTTGGTTACCAAGTTAATTGGTTTTAACCTATGCTGTTTTGAGTTTATATGCTAGATAAGCCTAAAATTCTTGCTGAAAGGAATTTATTTTATTTTCTCCAGGACAAAAAACCGCTGAATAATAGAATATGTTTGGGAAAACAACCAGATTAGGCAGTAAATATGTTTGCAGCCCAGTGTTTTCATACCTATGAGAAATGATTCACATTGATTAGTGGTCTGCTGGTTAAATACTGTGGTTTTGAAAACCAGCCTTCGTTTCATGGCTTCTCCCACATCTTGGGAATGGTTTATCAGATCGATTTTCTTGCCCAAATATGTAATGTTTCTGCTTTGTTGTGGTGAGGTGATATTGACATTCTGGAGAAAAAAAGGATGATGTGAGATATTTTCCTGAGCCAAAACCGTTTCCAAGCCTGTGCACTGTATGCAGTCCTGAGTGTGGTTATGTATTCAAAATAATACCTCTGTATGACTAAGCAAGTTTGACCTCAGCTTCTATGTAAGACAAATATTCAAATTAGAAATATTTATTTGATTTACAGGAAGAGTAAGGATTCTGTGGTTCATTCTTAGTTAAAAATTTCAGTTGCCAAATAAGTTCTTCTTTTTAAAGCCCCAGGTGCAGTTCTTCCATATTTGTCTCTTCAGGCCCTGTCCCTGTGGAGGGAGATGCTTCCTTTGCTATCATTGCTATAACTCAGAAAACTCTTACTTCTCCAGCCTTGCCTGAAAATTGCAAAAGAAATAGTTACCTGAAACGTGGAAATGGTGTTGGCAGATATTTGACATTTATGTGGGCTTCATTCAAATAAATGTCAAAAAGGTCGAAGTTTCACATCAGCATTCATTTACAATTCAGACTTTTGAATTCCTAGGAAAATTACATTGATTCCTTTTTGGCTTCTGATGTAACAAACTCTTCTTGGAAAAGAAACTAAGGCAATTGCTTAGAATATTAACAGGCATTGCCATTTAATGATTACTTGAATTTTTAGTGATATAGGTCATGACTGCCTCTTATCAATGTTGTAAAGCAAATCATAACACACAGGCTTAGCTAAAAAATTAATTCATATTAAAAAAATCTAAAACAAAAAAAAATAGTATTTGATCTATGAATTCAATTACAAAATTATGGAATAATATAGCTTGCAGTTTCCTAAAATGTCCCTAGATGCATTAACAACTTGTAGAAGGTAGTAAGGTTGCATATCATGAACATTATGTGAGACATTATTAATAGTCTCTGTTAACAGGCTTTTCTGGTAGATGGAACAAGAACTACCAGGAGCTAGCTCTTCTTAAATGTGTACAAATTTACAGAGAGAGACGATGGTCCATTGGTAATATCTATGGTACTAATGAACACATTACTTTTGCACCGACCCATGTAGTTTAATAATTTGTGGAAACAAACTTTTCCACCTCTGATGGAGACTGTATGATAAGACACAAAGCACTATCTGTTGCTTCAGATATAAATGAATGAGAGAAGTTACAATGCAGAGGAGGCAGTCAGCATAGCTGGCACACTGTAAGCTGGATCTGGACTCTGTGTGACCCCCGCTAAGACTCATATTTCATTGTGGTTAGGGCTTTTCTAGCCATTCCACTTCATTTTGTAAAGAGAGAATAAACCCAGTGAAAAATACTTTGTGTTAAAAGCCCTGAATGACAGCACATGCTTTCTGTTGCTGAACTGTATCCCGTTGCAGCTGTCAGATGCACAGCTGAGAAAATACAGCTCCAGCTGCTGCTGCCTCCCACCTCGTCCCTCTATCACAGACAACATGTAATTTCCTGAATAGGAAGTCACAGAGCGCAGTAGTCATCCTAACTACTATTGTCTTATGTCTTTGCTACTCTTGCAACAGTGGTTCACTTTTCAGGAAGAGTTCATAAAATCTGGGTCACTTTTCCGGGTAGTTCCAGCTTAGTTCCCTATTGTCTAAGCCTATCTACATGTATATATGTTGTACTGTCAGCTTGGAAGTCTCCTTCCTTGTAACATCTGGGTAGTGCAGCAGACCACTGTGGGAGGTACACAAGCTACCCGAGGTATCAGACTGTGCCACCACCAGCTCAGTGTGTAGTGAGCCCTGGCTCTGTAGTCCTGCTGGGAAACAGAGGGCACTAGGCTGGGAGCAGTGCTGCAGTAACATGTTACCCCGCCTGCAACACCTAGCTTGTTTTATTGAAAAGTAAATCAATCACCTTGGTACAACTCTGGATTGTACTATGAAGATATAACCAATGAGGAGGTCTGGAAGATATTAACAAACAACTCTACCCCTTTTTTCACCTTCACCTGAGAACATAATTTTTTTTTTTTTTGTAACATGTCCTGTCTGTAGAAAGAGTCTTGTGTATGACTTACTCCATATGTTATAGAGAATTTCAGATTGTTTCCTCTTGTTTTTTTCTTGCTAATGTTGTTTGGTTTTACCCTGAATGCAGAAATACTTGCAATGGTACTGGAGGTAGCAGTTAGGATTGTCTGTTGTGAATCAGAAGAACATGCTAAAACCCCTTGTCTGAGACAGAGAATCATTTGGTATTTGTATATTTGGCCATCCAGGATAGCCTGAGCACCAGGTTATCTATTTAGATGTGGGAGGCACACTCAGTTTCTTCTGATGGCATTAGTATACATTGTATAAAAACACTTTTGCCTATATTGTGAGAGATACTGCTGCTTTAGCCTGCTGCTCAGGATACTCAGCCATCAGGTGGAATATCTGAGCAGTGAACATTTGAAGCAGCTAAAGCAGAAAAGACTAAAAATCCAATAAGGATGAACTGAAGCACTCCAGCCATTGGTACTGAGTCCTTCTCCAGCAACAAGCACTGGGTAGCCTCAGTTAAGGTCTTCAGCTTTCAGGCTGATTGATAAATTAAAGGGCACAACATTTTCAGTTTCTTAAAAATTCACATTTTCCTCTAACCCAAGTATTTTGGCTACAACTGTATTTTTTGATGAATGGGTCAATGATAGAAAAAATACGCCTAACTATGGACTTTAGCAAAGTGAGGTTTGGGTCACAGTACATAAAGACTTCCTGGATTTCTGTCCTATGTTAAGTGTCAGTTCAAAGGATATAGTTACTATCCTTAAGTGGTCAGTATGTTCATCATTACGACTTTGTTTTTCTAGAAAATGTAGCATACTGCAAACCTGTCAGATCAGTTGTATACGCACCTCCTTTTACCTAATTCATAGTAGGTGGCTCTACTAAACACACTCTTACTAAAGAGTCCACTGGAAAACACGAGTCTTTTGCCCACTTTACTTTTCTCAGCCAGTGAGACTCTGCTTGGCAATGAGTAAACTTCAGAGAATTCCACGCTTACTGAGCTATTGAGCACTGATTCCAAAATCAATTAATTCAAACAAGGTCACATTGCATGAGGGAGTTTTCAATTACAGCTCATACAATTACTCAGAATGCCTGAGGAATTGCAGGTTTCCTTTCTCCTGACTTAAAGCTATTTTTGGCTTTCCATTTTTGAAATATGGGGCTACATAGGGTGAATTTTTAGAGCACATGTTTGATATTTACCCACAAAACCCTCCTTGACAATAAATAGATTACATGGTCATGTACCTACAAACATAAAGGCATAAGAATATAGTATTTCATTGAGAAGTTGTACTGTTCCATGGCACAGCTACCCCTGCAGACTGATTCTGGTTGCTATCTATCTGAACAC